CTCAGACTCCAGTACAGCAAAGCACTTAAACATCTTGCTTAATTAAAGCACGTACTGGAACTTAACCATGTGCTTAGGTGCTTTGCTGAACTGGGGCATGTTTTTATTAAAATATGCACATGCTGGCTGTTCAGAGGAAAGGAAAGTAAGGATGTTAAGAACTAGTTGACTATCCAAAGCAAATACTTATCAGATAGTTGAGTCGACTAGTCACTTCCCCCCCTGCCTTTGCTGCCTCTATCTGACAGAGGCAACAAAAAGGAGGGAAGGGGGGTACTTCAAAGTGGCAGCACCACACGGAGCCCGCTAAGGGCTCCATGCAGCACTGCCACTTTGAAACGCCATGGTGGCATTTCAAAGGGACGCCTGGGCTGATCCTGGGCTCTGTGTGGTGCTGCCCCTTTGAAACGCTGCTGTGGTGTTTCAAAGATGCAGCGCTGTGTGGAGCCCGGGGTGAGCTGGGACTCCCAAGCTGACCCCAGGCTCCATGTGGCATTTCTGTGGAACCTAGCTGATCCCAGGTTCCGTGGAAATGCCACAAGGAGCCCAGGGTCAGCTGGGGAGTTCTGAGTTGACCCGGTTCCACATGGCATTTCAAAACAGCAGCACCACATGGAGCCTGGGGTCAGCAGGGGACTCTGAGTTCCCCACTGACCCCAGGCTCTATGTGGGCGCTTTCGCTCTGAAATGCACAAGAGCCCCCACTGCGGACTCTTGACCATTTCAAAGCAGGCACCTGAATGCAGCCTGGGGCCAGTGGAAAGTCCCGCTAACTCCAGGCTCCACGTAAACGCTTCCACTTTGAAATGCACAAGAGCCCACTGAGGCTTTTGTACATTTCAAAGGAGGAATGCAGAAGTGCCTATCAACTAATCAAGTTGTCAATGGAAATTCCATCGACTACTCAACTAGTAAATTAACCAATATTTAACATCCTTAAAGGAAAGCAGCTGTGAGATGCCATCTCCAGTCTGTAATGAGGAGAGGGTGGTCACAGAACTAGATTGGTTCATCCCCATTTCTTATAGGATTAAGAATGAGCTACAGAAGAGCAACTCCTCCTGGGACTTTTCTTCACTCCTTGGCTATGTGCACAGCTCCTTTTCTCTCATCCATCAGGTGCTGGCTCCTTTCCATACTTCCCTCATCAGGGAAGCAACACCCTAGAGTTGACTCTTCTTCGCATTGTCCTGTAGACCCCATAACCTCAAGCTTTCCTGTCTGCTTCCTTTGCTCACTCCAGATAGGAGCAGGGGGAATATGCCATTGCCATCCTCACGAAAGAAGTTATTGTTTCTCAATTTCAAGAGGTACAGGATAGCAGATGCTGCTTAGCGGAGAATAACATTACACCGCAAGTGGAGTGAAGTTTACTTCTACATTACAAAATAAACCACATTAAAACACGAGTCAGAATGGCTTTGCTGAGATAGCAGGGTTCACTGCCTCAGCTATTGTACAGTGCAAACACTCTGAACAAAGACAACACTCACAGGTCACATTCACGGGGAATCTGACAGAATCCTGCTGGAAATACCCATGTTTGAACTGGGAGAACAGCTGGGCCATCCATGCATGCAGGTTTGTAGGGGGCCCACTGGATAATGAATAAGTATTTGCTTTAGTGCAATTTAAAGGAAGAAAATTCAGGGCTTGGGTCTCATTTATTCAATTCCTGCACTTGGGACAGGGACAGGGAGGATGTAGCCAAAGGTGGTTTAAAGCTTTTAGCCACCTTTACACTCCCTGTATTGGCCATGTAAGCAAGAACAGCCTTGGGGCTGCTCCCACGGCCTCTGAGAAGCAGAGAATTGCTGCAGTGTAGTACATTGCAGCCACACTATTGACCCATCTCTTATGCCATGGGTTGGGAGCAGGGCCTGTCTAGGAGCCTTACATCATTTCTGTAACAATCAGGCAGGCCATTTGACCAGGAGACATTGCTAACGACTTTACACAAATAGAATGACATAAAGGCAACTTAATATAACTAAGAGTTGGATACAACTTCAGTTTCTTTACCTCAAACCTTAGAAGTGTGTATGTATGTTGTGTGTTATATGCATTTGTGGGAATATGTGCACACACATGAGTGTGCAAACACTATGTAACTTTGCTGTTGAGCTTCGGGGCTCCCAATGCCTCATCTCCTGGAATGTTTTTCTGTTTTGGGTTTGAGATCCTCACTCATCTTGCCGGTTAAATCGAACTCCCACCCAGCTTTTATAGATTGACAAATAGGGTCCTTAGTTTTCCTGTCTCACTCCCAAGCAGTGTTCCCTCTAAGGTTCTCCATCCATGAGCAGAATGAGTTTTGTCTTGTGTACCAATATTGAGGTCATGTGCACTTGTTCAGATGTGTGCTACCATGTCACCCAAATTATTAACAAATATCTTATATATATTTTTAGAATGCTATGGAAGAAAAAATACTAAAACAAGGGATAAATGACAAAGTGCATGACGTTAAATATTTATTTAATATGAAGTCAAATAAAAAAATTAATATTTTAAAATTTTCAGTAGCCAACTTCCTTGGTTTATAGCCCTCTACTAGACTCTCCCCCAGGGGGGCTTCCTTCTCAATTAAATCTGGTGCTTCTTTCAGGGAACTGTGTTAATTGGCCTTTCAGACTAACATTGCTGAACTTGTGTAGGATAAACTCTCCATTGCAAAACTAGATAACAGTTTATTGAATATTTCTTCCCATTCACATTGTGTCTCCAGGCTATATTTTATGTTGGATCTGAGGTGAAGTCAATCCAGCATCTCCCCACCACCACCCTCAGTTCTTTTTATTTATTACAGATAAATAGCCAACTTAGAAAGTGTAGTTACTTGGAATGCTTGCTCTGTACACAAGACATAAATCAGAGCTAAAGCATTCTGATGAATCAAGTGCAGATTTCTCTTGTCTGATTTGATCAACTCATAAGCATTCTTCAAAGCTTATATGTCTATTAATAAAAATAAGGTATCAGAAAGGTGACAAATAATACGATTTGCTTTATACCAGAGTGTACCAGCAGTCCAGCAGTAACTTGGACAGCTCTGTGTCAGGGTGGCCTGTCCTCTTCCTCTTAGGTGTGTGTGTGAAATGGGTAAAGAGGGGAAAACAGAATATGGAGCCACTGGTGATGTAGCAATAGAGGCTTTATATTGTGTATCAACTATTTCCTGCTCTTTCTTTTTTTCTTTGGTCTAGTTTTGTAATGGTAGAGGGCCTGCTGAATGCTGTTTACAAATAAAGGATGTAATGTTTTCAAGAAAGTGTCCTGCTGTCTCTGCATCACATTATACCATCATGATTAGAGAAGATAAAACTAAAAACGTGTTTAGGAGCAATTAAGCACCAGTAAAGAAACAGTATTCCTCTAAAAGCTAGAGCTACATTTCAGTACATTCCATCTGTATACGAGTGCTGTAACTAGCTAATTTTGTGCCTGAGGCAAGAATATAAAACTGCGCCCCCTCTTGTGTATAATTAGTTTTCCATATTATTTTTCTGCACCCCCTCAGCTATGTACCCGAGGCAAGTGCCTCACTCACCATGCCCTTGTTACAGCCCCCCTGCTGTAGACCATTTTACCCCCATCCGTACACAACCAAATTCCTTATTCATCATGCCATTCTGACTTACAGTGCATGACAGTCAATCCCATGCCTTGCACAAACACTGTCCCCCACCAAGAAATTAATAAGTCACTTTGCCCCACAATTACATTCCTATGGGTACTATTCCCACTCTTCCATTGGGCCATGCAAATCTATATGGCCCCTGGGTCCAGCCCCAGGTCCAGCTGCCACAATGCAGTCCCAGCTCTGGGCCTAGCTCTGCCCACAATCACACCACACCCGGTTCTGATTGCTGCCACCTGGCCCCAGCTCTGCCCACGGTTCTGGCTGCCACCACACAGCCCCCAAGGCCGGCCACTGCTCCAGCTGCCAGCATGCGGCTCCCAGCCCTGTCCACTGCCATGTGGCCCCAGCCCTGGGACTGTCTCCTCTCACTGCCACATGGCCCCCAGCTCCACCCACCACCACGCAGCCCCTAGCTCTGGTCCCAGCCCTGGCAGACGCCATGTGGCCCTGGTCCCCCACCCTCCTACCCACCACCACCAGCTTAGCTTTCACATCAAGGAAGCTGAAGTGGTGTTGCTGCGTGGCTGTGCTGATGAGGTGGGTGAGAATAAAATTATTTGTGCTTGCCTGTGCAGGTGAGCACCCTCAAGGGAACTTAGCCCCCTGTATAAACCAACTGGGCTAAATCCTAAACCCCCCTGAAAGCAGTGGGAGTTGTGCCATTTGCTTCATTGAAACCCAGATTTCACCCATAATAAATATCCATATCCAAGCCATTCCAACCATCCTTGCTAATGAGTGTGTAGTGATTCTGGGACACAGGATATTATGGTTAAATCATCTGCCTGGATACCTCAGATATTGTCTAGATGCCAAGTAAGCATTTCCTTCATATAGAAAAGACAAGAAAAAACATCGATTTGTCCATAGGCGCCATCCATATGAGTTGTCAGGGATGCTCAACCCCTGCACTGATCCAGGCTCTGCCCCAACACCACCCCTTCCCCCAAGCCAATGACCCTACTCTGCCTTACTCCTCCCCCTCCCTCACACACACCAAACCCTCCACGCGCCTCCTGCACACCACCAAACAGCCAATCCGCGGCAGGCAGGAAACGCTGGGAGAAGCAGGAAGGAGCTGTGGATAAGAGGTGCTGTGGGGAGTGAGAGGTGTCAATTAGGTCAGGGCTGCCACTGGATTCTGAGCACATACCCCTTTTTTTTTTTACATCCCTGCCCCGGAGCGCCTCCAGAATCAGTGCCTATATATTTGTCTCTAGTTCCTACTGTCAGGCAAGCTTCCTGCTACAGACTTATAAAAAAAGAATTAAGGGGAGGAAAATTACAATATTGTAATTTTTATGCAAATAAAGGTGTGAGTAAAAAAAAAAAGAGGAGAGAAGACAAGTGTTACTACCTCTGCTTCCTGTAGGATCCCATGGTTCAAGCACACAATGTCTGGACAAGTGATGGGAGAGCCACAGCCTTCTCGAATTGCCACCTGCATATACTGTTTAAGGCACTAGAAAAGAGGAAAGAAAAATAAATGATGCAAAGCTGCAACCCACATGGAAGGTAACATGTAAAAGTTAACACTGCATCCAGGTGTCCTAATTTTATAGGACAGGATAGTCCTGATATTTGGGACTATGTCTTATATAGGGACCTATTATTGTCTTATATAGGTACCATCCTCATCCTGATTGTTCACCTGTGCTGTCTGGTCACCCTAACTGCACTACAAGCTGCCACCTCCACTTCCTTAATTGGCTGTCCTAGAGCACTAATACAGAGAACATATAAATCATCATATGTGTAAATAAGAGCCATTACTTTGGGAAGAATGCAGCAAGGAACAATTCATTATGTATGACTTCATCCAGCACATATTGCGTCTACTGAAATCAGCAAGTCAAGTCCTTCTTGTGCTAACACATTCTCTGTATTAAATCTAGACTTAGGCTATATTTCACTCTAATTAAAACAGGCTTTGCTCTTCTGTTTTCCTTTCATGTATGCTTGATTCAGTCTCTCACCTAGTGGGCAACACTATAAGGCCTCATTTACAAGCAGAGGAGTTGCTGTCTCAGCAATCTGCAATGAAGGCAGCTTACGGATTGGCTAGGAGAGCACAGTTCTGAAAATAGTGAGACTATCAACTTTCCTCTAAATAGATTGTGTCATTTCCGTGAATTGCCATCACCACTGGCCTACTGACCAAGTGTTCAAAGTCCGTTTCCAACAGAGAGGCCTTCCTGCATGTGTCCACATCACCTCATTGCACAAAATAACTGTGTGGTATTTTTTCTTCAAACATTTCATCAGGAAGAGCAGATCATGGTGGTTTCATCAACATTACAAAATAGCCGATGGGATTGCAAGGACCCAATTCTTTGGGCCATTGCATTGGTTTTATGCAAGTGCAACTTCACTAAAGTCAAAGAATTTTAACTGGTGTAACAGAGATTTCTAATTCCAAAATGCACAGGTAAATAGTGAACCCAACATGTCCTCTGACCGTGTTCCTAGTAAAAGTGATGTAACGATGTATAGTGTAAAATGATGCAATTTCATTTCTACCCTGAATGCCAGGAAAATGTACACCCACCAAATCTCTGTAGCCATTTAACAAGTTTATTTTTAATGAAAATGAATAGCTCTTCTACCAAATGGAATGATATTTAAAATGAGATCTGATTTTTTATAAGATGTTTAAGTTTTTTAAAATTTGTATTTAAAGGGAGATCAGGGAATTGATTTCCAAAATTTAGGGATTTCATTTTTTTAGAGTTTTAAAAGCCTTATTGAAGGGTGTGTCTACACAGCAGAGCTTACCTCAAAATAAGCTATGCAAATTGAGCTACGTCAATGGCATAGCTCATTTCGAAATTGAGAGCATCTGCACTTATTTCAAAATAGAGCACTCTTCCTCTGACTTCCCTTACTCCTCGTACAATGAGGGTTAGAGGATTCAGAGTAAGAAGTACTCCACCTTGACAATATTTCAACATTATTTCAAAATAACTGCCTGCTGTGTAGACGAGGACTAAGTTACTTCGGAATAACGTTGAAATAATGTTGCTGTGTAGACACACCCTTAATAGCGACAGATTACATTATAAGCCCTGCCGCATGCCCCTGTAGGAGTATAATGGGTGTAAGGAGTCCCTTTATATTCCTGCATGGATTATCTGCATTTCCAGAGCATGTATGGTAAGCTGCCATTGGATTGTTACTCCCTCATCCATCAAGTGGAGAGGAGGTAGGTGGGAAGGAGTAGGGAATGGGCAAAGTCTTGGTTCTGCCCCTTAAATGCACTGGTAAGTATAGCTGAGTTGGCACAGAGAATGAAGTAATCTATGCTAGCCATAGGTTACCCTCAGATCAAGGGGGAAGACAGGACTAGATGTGACCCTGAGAGGCGCAATCCACATCCTGCCCTACTCCTGGGTTTCAGTTCAGCCCCATATGTTTACAATTTTTGTTTTAAATTTTAAACAAACATTTCCCTAGATATAAGAATGGAACTGAGTGTTCCGTTTTCACACTCCAAGATGAACAAAAAATAAATAATCAGTATAACTATTCTAAGTTTTAATGACTCCAGGCATTATTAGTAACACAAAGGACTTAATGACACTTAGCCAGACACTGCCCTTTTATTCATTCAAATAACACAGTTAATGCTACTTGCCAAAAGGCACCTAACAACAACATCTCAAAGAGTCAGTGATTGAACCAAAAAGCGGGCTTAATGGCTGAGCTACGATACACACTGCCCATTGACATAGAAAAGAAAAGGAAAACCGACGAAGTAACATAGTCATGATTGACCCCAACAGGAAAAACTTTGCTCTGAAGTCTGCCCCCCAAAAAACACACATGCCATGGGATGGAGGAAGACTGCATAGGTCACAAGGGTGGGACAACCCAGCACATGCTCCTTGGAGTCTGCTTCCATTATTCAGAGCCTGCAGTACCTTGTGTGGAGCATTAATTTCCCTCTTTTACCTTTAAGGGTGAGCTCTGTCTATACATCCTCTCTCCGACTTACGAACCGGTTATGGACCAAGCAATTGGTCGTAACTCGGTTTGATCGTAAGTCGGACCCCATAGAGTTACACGCGACTGTGCTGTTTGTAAGTGCGGATCGCATTCATAACTCGAGGTCCACCTTTTACAACAGCTTCGGTGGTAACTGCAAATGGTCAGGGACTGGCTGTACTACCAAGTTCTCTTGCCAAAAACTGCCTTTTGCAACAAAATAGTGAGAGCGTTCACACTGCTATGGGACTTTTGTCAGGAAAAGCACCCAGTTTTGATGACAAAAAGTCTTTTATTTTCCTCTTCGGGTACCTCTAGACTACAAGCCTCATTCAAAAGAGGCTTTTTCGAAAGAATCTTTCGAAAAAGCCTCTTTCGAAAGAGAGCGTCTAGTCTGCAACCACTTTTTAAAAAAGCAAGCCAATTTTTTGAAAGAGACCACCCAGGCAGTCTGGATGCTCTCTTATGAAAAAGCTCTTTTTGCATTCAATAGTGCCTTTTTTCGAAAGAGCACTTTAAAAAAAAGGCATTATTCCTCGTAAAATGAGGTTTTCCATGGTCAAAAAAATTGCCACATTCTTTTGATTTAATTTCAAAAGAACACAGCAGCAATCTAGACACAGGTGAAGTTTTTTCGAAAAAAGGCCACTTTAAAAAAAAAAACCCTGTAATCTAGACACACCCTTCCTGTCCACAAAGAGCCAATGTAGATTCTCCAGTTTGTTTTGTCGACAAAACTGGCTTCCACCAGTATCCCGCAATGCCTGCCCTGATGGCTCTACTCTGCTTTGATTTCTGCTTCCTGTAGGCATGCATCTCTCCCCTTTCAAAACTCCGGGAACTATCTCACAGCTGAGTGAGCTACTCCCTTTGGGGAACAACAAAGAACAAATCATTGGACTGCTCCTGTTCTGCCCTGCTAGGAACACAGTGGCAGGTGGATTGCAGCTACAGAAGAGAAAGGCTCCTGTGCTGCTTTGACATTCCTCAGCAAGGAGAGCTCACAGATTGAGGAGGTCATCAGTATGAGAACTGAATTTGTGGATGAATTGTAATTTCAACGCCTCTCTGTGTATTTGGCTTGTAGAGTTGGCTTCGAGATAACAGATGGCTGGGACACTACCAACCTAACATTCAATGAAGGAGCAAACAGCTCATCTGTGTAGATTCTTGCATTAGTACCCTTCCTATCTAATTGCTATCCTATGATCCTTATCTGCTTCTTTTAACTATCCAATCTTTAGGTGCTTATAGATTACCAGTTCTGCCTACTTGCTTTTCCCTTTCATATTTTCATATCCTCTGCTCCTTGTTTCCTGCCACCTTCCTTTTTTTCCTTCCCCCCCCTTCTCCCCTATTTATTTTGGGTCTGCACATCCTAAACTCAAAACTCCAGTCATCTGAAGAAGTGGGCTGGGCCCACGAAATCTCATGATACTATCTACAAGTTTTGTTAGTCTATAAGGTGCTACCAGACCGTTTGTTGTTTTTTAATTATTTTACTGTGGAAGAAAGTGTATGCAGCTCTTACGTAGCTGGGCAACAGTACAACGCATATATAGACTTTGTATTTGATTTCTGCATACAATATGCCTTTAGGGATATACCTTCAAGAGGCTGGATAGCACAGAAGCTTGACAGCATGAAATGGAACCTTTCCACTCTCATTTTCTGGTTCCAATCTGTATTAGGCTGACAATGGCCAGTGTGCCTTTTATGTTGTAGTTCAACTGAGTTCAATAGGCTTTGAATCAGAAGTCAGAGGATCTCAAACGTGCTTTACAAACAACAGACCTGTGACATAAATCTTAAAACTATTAAATCTTTTACAGATTACAAAACTGAGGCTGATGGACTATGGGCTTGATCCAGTCAGGTGCTGAGGGGAGTTGAAGGTGTAGAGGGCTTCTCAGGTGGCATGCAGCACATTCCAGGACAGAGACCAAAATGACTTGCCTAACGATCACACATCTATCTGTCTGGGAGCCAAGACTGGAACCTCATCTCTCCTCTTCCCAAAATTAGAAGTAAAGAAATAATGTATTGTAAATTTTAGCACAGCAGAACTGCTTTAATCTTTTGTTATTATGTTTAAAAACTCATCTACTAATATAGTTTAATTAAAAAATATCTGAAAATGAAGCTGTGATGGATAGGAGGAGGAGTGCTGGCCTTTTGTAAACATCCCAGCATTCAGTAACCAAAGGGTTAAATTCAGGTAGCTAGAAAGTGTTGGCAGGGAGCCAGGAGAGCCAATGGGAGAAGGTATTGAGATTTGAATGGAAAGGGGTACCTTCCTGCTGTTTTTTTCTTTGTGTGAGTTTAACCTGGGAGCTGGGGGAACAAGATGAATTGAGCCAGGCAGGACTACCATGTTTACAAAGAATATTGGGTATGGAAATTGGACTGGACCTTGAAGCATGGATATGTGAATAGATAGGAAATGTCTATTTAGACGTAATCAGGTTATTTTCTTTG